GTATTTTGGATAAGAGTCCTTTATCCTGTGTGTCTCTTGCAAATATTTTCTCCCAGTCTGTGGCTTCTTTTCTTATTCTCTTGATACTGTCTTTTGCAGAGCAGAAGTTTTTTAATTTTAATGAAGTCTAGCTTATTATTTTTGTTTTTTAAATACTTGAAGACAGTTTTTCATTGCTTCTTTTTAAAGAGAGGAGAAGAGAGAGAAACATTGATGTGAGAAAGAAACATCGATTGGTTGCCTCTGGTATGCACCCCCAACTAGGGGGATTGAAACCGTAACCTAGGAATGTGCCCTAACCAGGGATCAAATCCGCATCCTTTCATTTTATGGGATAGTGCTCCAACCAACTAAGCCACACCAGCCAGGACATTATTTTTTTTTAAGATTTTATTTATCTTTAGAGAGAGGGGATGGGAGGGAGAAAGAGGAGGAGAGAGACATCAATGTGTGGTTGCCTCTTGCACACTTCCAACTGGTGACCTGGCCCGCATCCCAGACATGTGCCCTGACTGGGAACTGAACCAGCGACTCTTTGCTTTGCAGGCTGGTGCTCAATCCACTGAGCCACACCAGCCACAGCAGGGCATTATTTTTTTAATAGATCATACCTTTGGTGTTGTATGTAAAAAATCATTGTCATACCTGCATTCATCGAGGTTTTCTTTTGCGTTATCACCTTGGTGTTGTATAGTTTTACATTTTGCATATAGATCTGTGATCCATTGTGAGTTTAGTTTTGAGAAGAGTGTAGGGTCTGTGACTAGATTCATTATTTTGCATGTGGATATCTAGATGTTCTGGCATCATTTGTTGAAAAGACTATCTTTGCTCCCTGGTATTGCTTTTGCTCCTTTGTTAGTTGACTTTACTTATGGGAGTAGATCTGAGTTTTATAAAACATGATTTGCAGCAGAATACCCTGGAGAATTGCTGTCAGAATACTGAGTCCTAGTCTCAGGACAAAGCCTTCTAAGGAGGATCCTCTAGGAAAAGGTTTAAGGAATCTGCATGTTTTTACACTTTATTTTCAATTATATTTTGTTATTTATGCTATTACAGTTGTCCCAATTTTTCCCCCTTTGCCACCCTCTACCCAGTGCCCCCACTCCCTCAGGCAGTCCCCCCACCATCATCCATGTCCATGGGCCATGCATGTAAGTTCTGTGGCTACTCCATTCCTTAGACTGTACTTTACACCCCTGTGGCTACTCTGTGACTACCTATTTGGACTTCTTAATCCCCTCTCCTCGTCCCCCATACCCCCCCACCCCCTCCCACCTGGCAGCCGTCAAAATGTTCTGCGTATCCATGATTCTGTCTCTGTTCTTCTTGTTTGCTTAGTTTATTTTTTAGATTCAATTGTTAGGTTTGTATTTATTGCCATTTTATTGTTCATAGTTTTGGTCATCTTCTTTTTCTTAAATAAGTCCCTTGAACATTTCATATGATAGTGATTTGGTGATGATGAACTCCTTTAGTTTTTTCTTCTCTGGGAAGCTCTTTATCTGCCCATCCATTCTAAATGATAGCTTTTCTGGAGAGAGCAATCTTGGCTGTAAGTCCCTACTTTCCATGACTTTCTATTTCTTGCCATTCCTTCCGGCCTGCAAAGTTTCTTTTGAGAAATAAGATGACAGTTTTATGGGAACTTCCCTTTGGGTAAATAATTTCTTTTCTCTTGCTGCTTTTAAGAGTCTGTCTTTGTCCCTAAACTTTGGCATTTTAAGTATGATGTGTCTTGGAATGGGCCTCTTTGCATCCATCTGTTTCAGGACTTTCTGTGCTTCCTGGACTTGCATGTCTATTTCCTTCACCAAATTAAGGAAGTTTCCTTTTATTATTTTTTCAAATAGATTGCCCATTTCCTGTTCTTTCTCTTTTCCTTCTGGCGCCCCTATTAGGCAAATATTGGAATGCTTGAAGTTGCCCCAGAAGCTGCTTATACTATCCTTGTTTTTTTGCATTCTTTTTTCTTGTTGTTGTGATTGTGTGTGTGTGTGTGTGTGTGTGTGTGTGTGTGTGTGAGTGAGTGAAAAGACACACATTAAGGAACATTGCTTCCTTAATGTTCCAAATCATTGATTTGATTCTCGGCATCACCTACTCTACTGTGGTTTCCCTGTAAATTGTTCTTTATTTCAATTAATGTATCCTTCAGACGTTTCTGACTGGGTCTTTCTTAGGCTGTTGAGGTCCTCACTCAGTTCCTTGAGCATCCATATAACCAGTATTTTGAACTCTGTATCTGATAGAGTGCTTATCTCCATTTCACTTAGTTCTTCTTCTGGAGTTTTTGTCTGTTCTTTCATTTGGGCTGTGGTTCTTCGTCTCCTCCTTTTGGCAGACTCCCTGTGTTTGTTTCTATGTATTAGGTAGAGCTACTTTGACTCCCTATCTTGGTAGTGTGGCTTAATGTAGTGGGTGTCCTGTTGGGTCCAGTGGCACAGCCTCTATCACCCAAGCTGAGTACTTTAGGTGCGCCCTTTGTGTGGGCTGAGTACACTGTCCTCTTGTAGATGAGCCTTGATTGCTGATGGCAGATCAATGGGAGGAATTTACCCAGGCCAGTCAGCTGCAAGGATTGGCTGTAACCGCCGACCACCAATCTCAACCTTTTGTGGAGAATTAGCTGTGCAGGGGCAGAGTGGTGTGTAGCTAGCTGTCCACGGGATGCACAGGCTCTGGGGTTTCCCAGGTGGCGTAGGCCAAGGTCAGCCCCTTCCTGTGTTTTTCTGGGGGCCACCCTGCTTGAGCTATAAAGCAATCCGAGATGGCTGCTACTTGTGCTAGGCTTGGAGATACCCAGGAGAAGCCAAGCTGTGAACCTAGGCCAGCTGCTCCTAGTGCCAGGTCTGGGGCCACTTAGCCAGGGGTCCAGAGGCTGGGGGCTCACTGAGGCTAGCTATTGCTTGTTTGAGAGGATTTAGGAAGTTGTGAAGCTGAGCCAAGGCCAGCCGTTCGTATGGAAAAGTCACTGTTAATAGCTTGGGTGGTCTCTTAAGTTGGGTGGGATGGAGTCTCAGTGGATCTCCAGGGTGGGGCAAACAGTATTAGCCAGGTTGATGGAAGCTCATATATGATACCAGCCTGGTGGCTCTGTGGCTCTGTGGCTCTGTGGGTAGAGGGCTCAGAAAAGGGACAGTGGCCTCTGTCCGTCTTTCTGCCTGGGAGAAAGGTGTCGCCTGGCTCTCACCTTGATGCCAGACACACCAGTTCCTCCGTGTGTGCCACTGGTGCCTTGCAAGCAGCTACCCCAGTGCTGGAGCTTAGAGGGAGTAAATCTGAGTAGGTGAGTCCATGTGTGGGTTCTTTAAGGAGAACTGCTTGGGGGTCCACCAGTTTCTTCCACCAACTCAATCAATCTCAGCTGGTTTTTGTAGCCAGAAGTCAGAGCTCTTATCACCAGGGGACTTATCTTCCTGGCACTGGAACCCTGGGCTGGGGGGCCTGGTGTGGGGCTGGGACTCCTTGCTCCAAAAATATCCTTCCAGAAATTTTATCCACCACACATGATTGTGGGACCAGCCCGTTTGCTTCTCCGCCCTTCCTACCAGTCTGGATAGATGTGGTTTCTTTAATTTTGGAGTTGCCAAACTTCATTCACCTTGATATCAGATGGTTCTGAGTGATGGTCGTTCTATATTTTAGTTGTAATTTTGATGTGGTTTTGCAAGGAGACGAGCCATGTTTACTTGTGCCACCATTTTGACCAGAAGAGGAATCTGCATTTTAAATGACTACAGATGATTCTGCGGTAACAGGTCAATGGTTTGGGACTCTTTACTCTTATTTCATTATTTAAACTGTTTCCCTCTTCTACAGAATCTTTGCACAGCTCCCATTTTGGTTGATTATGTGAGGCTTGACCTATGTCTTCTGTCAAAGAGAATCCTTTAATAGCCTAGACAAAAAAATGCCATGAGGACATGCTGTCTGCCTGCACTATGCTAGGTGTGGTGATCATTGACAGAAGTTATGTGTACAGGTTTTTGACACAGGAAATAAAGTACCAGTGGTACTGGTTATAGAAGACAGTTAAAGCCACACAGTGAGGTAAGTCACTTAGAAAGCCAGTTTGCTCTGAAATATAGATCTAGCAATGATTAGAGGGAACTAATAAAGAAGGTATGAGAGGTCAGTCTGGAGAAGAAATGAAGCCTGAACTGATTAGGAAATGAAACGGGATAAAGGCAAAGGGAATGTCACAGGAGAGAATCCAAGAAGCTTTGCAAAGGAAGAAATAACAATTTTTGGTGATAGAATATAGAGAAAGGAGGGACAGAAGGGGATTTCAAAGGCTGTAATTGAGGAGCCCAGAGTAAATGAGCTCTGACTGGTGGAAATTTGGAGCATTAGAAGAAAAGGCAGTTTGTCAGGGAAGAAGGGCATATGTTTTGGATACTGAGTTTGAGGCAAGAGTGGAACACTCAAACGGAGCACTTGTAAATCTGGGACTGGATCCAAAGTGAGAGGTCAGGACTAGGCATCCCTAGCATAGCTATTCTAGTTGAAGGGTGGAAGTAATAAGCTGAGGGTGAACAGGTAAGGGAGTAAGAAATAGAGGGGAATGTGCAGAGGGCTGTGGATTGGGTGGGAGCCCTCTGAGGAGAAGCAAGAGGAACAAGACAAGAAAACAAGGAAGAAGCAGACAGGAACCCGAGGAGAATCATGGAATTCAACAGATGGGGTGTTTTCAAGAAGCCTAAAACTTCTCATTCTGGCCTCATAACACCTTATATTCAGAAGAGGAAAAAGAACCAGTACTCCTATAGTTTCCAAAGCTATTGAAAGCACCAATGTTAAGCAAAAAGGAACATTCATTTCTTCTTAGAGTATGAAATGGAGCTATGTAAAATAGGGTTTTAGAAAAAGCTATCTTGCCATATTGCAAATATTGCTTTTCATGAACATCTTCAGTCATTTAAAAAAATTCTGCCATTGTTTCTTGAGTTCCTTTTTAAAAATAATGCAGAAGATTGTCTCATTTTACCTTGTAGGCACAGCAGCTTGGGAAAAATTCTTCAATGTGAAAACATCTACAGAGAAGGTCAACACATTACTTGCTCTTTTACTCTGACTAAACCAAAGGATTCCAGTTTGGACCAACACAGTGTTCAAGTGATGGTCAAGGATAATGCAGGAAAAATTAGACCATCCTTCAATATAGTGCCTTTAACTTCTTATGGTAAGTTTGAGAAGTCCTCTGTTGTTCTTTTGAATAATCAATACAAATAATAAAAAAAAAAGATTTTGGTTTTAAGGTCTTTCCAGAAAAAAGGCTATGTTTATATACCTTTCTTTGATCTTTTTTAAAGAAGCAAGGTTAGAAATTCTAATTTTTATTGAGTACCTATGCCACATAGCTTTCACCTTGTATACTTATCAGTACACTGACACTGAAAGCAAGAGTTAGTTTTAGAACCAAGATCAGAACCCAGGCTCTCTGACTCTTAAGATCTACTGTCTTTACTTACAATATGGTCTTTTACTTATGATGCTGCAGAAGAAATATGATCGAATATAGTTCCTGAATAATGTATTTCATAGTTTTAAAAAGATTAGACTGGAGGTGGAGTGATCAGGGGTGATATTCAAATTATCTGACATTCTGAGTGGTCCAGGCACTGATCAGTCAGAATAGCCAGTGCAGCCGAGTGTTAACCTGTTAGAAAGAGCCTCCTACTTGAAAACAAAATATTGGCTTGAGGTACTAGCTCCTTCACTTTGGACAAGGCATATAGACACTCTTTAAGTGTTTCCTCATCTATAAAACAGGATGCATAGTCCCTCTTGATCTCAAAGGATTATACAGTTCACCCTTGAACAACATGGGTTTGAACTGTGTGGGTCCACTTACACGTGTCTCTTTTTCTCAATAAATCTGTACAGTACTGTAAATTTATTTTATCTTCCTTATGATTTTATTAATAACATTTTATTTAGGTTACTTTATTATAACAATATAGTATATAATACATATACAAAATATGCATTAATTGGCTGTTTATAATATCAGGCTTCTGGTCAACAGTAGGCTATTAGTCGTAAGTTTTTGAGGAGTCAAAAGTTATATGCTGATTTTTGACTGAGGGGTGGGCAACTCCCTTAACCCCTTTGTTGTTTAAGGGTCAACTGTACTAAGTTCCACGTGATATGAGGTGTATGAAAGTGTTTTGTAAATCTCTAAAGCAGACTACTGTAAGCATCATGTTGCTCAGATTCTGGCTTAGTGGTATACAGAAAATTTATAGGTAAATAACCATGAATTGACAAAACCTCCCAAGTCTGTGAGCAGAGCACTATTTACCACTCTTTCAGATAGTCACAGAAGTGTATTCTAATAGTGAAACAAAGGCAGCTTAGTTTATAGGTCAGGGGAGTGAGATCATAGGAACGTGCCAAGTGGGATAATCTGAAGCAAAGCCCTTCTCTGTCCTCTCCCTTGCTTGGCAGGTTAGACCTTTTGAAGTTCATTTCCCTAGTTTTCTTCCTAGAGATTAGTGGTGACATAAAGAGACATCCTTCTCAGCTAGAGGGTGGTATCTTAAGGTTTTCTGTTAGTTATCCAGTCTCTTCTGTCGTATGGTCTTATGCATAATTGACTCCCCCAAAACTAAATTGACTAAGCTAGTTTTTTACTTTATTTTAAATTGTGGTTATAATCACATAGCATTAAATTTACCATCATATCCACTTCTAAGTGAACTGTTCAGCAGTTAAATATATTCACATTGTTGTGCAGCAGACGTCAAGAACTTTTTCATCTTGTGAAATTGAAACTTGATGCCCCCAAACACTATTTCCCTCTCACCTCTCCCCCTGCTCTGGGTAACCACCTTCCTACTTTATGTTTCTATGATTTTCAATACTTTAGATACCTCATAAGTGGAATCATATAGTACTTGTTCTTTTGTGATGGGCTTATTTCACTTAGCATAATGTCCTTGAGGTTCATCCATGTTGTAGCATATGACAGAGACTGGGCTAGTGTTTAAATTGTGGTCTTTGGTTACAAATGGACAACAGCTGGAGAAACTCCTTATACCCGGTGTCCTTCTTACTCATTACATGAATGCACATCTGGAGCCAAGCATTTATTTTCTTTAAGATGCAGCTGGAAGTCCAGATTATACCCTGGCCATGCTCTAACCAGATTCAGGTCAGAGTCCATGTCATCTGCCCAGAAACCCAAAGATATCCCTTTGATCCATTTTACTAGGTGATTTAAATAAGCTTCTTATATTAATTGTGCCTAATCAGAAATCTAGAACTGTATGTCTGATCATGTAAGGCCATTCAAAGTATCCCTAATTGGATATAATTTTGTGACCTTCATTATCTCTACCCACATATGTATTGTATGAAAATAAACTCTGGAAGCTAATTTGTAGTTTTCTATCTTTCAGTGCAACCGGATCCTCCACATATTAAAAGTCTCTTCTTCCAACATGGTGTCTTACATGTGCTAGGGAAGAATCCACAGAATTTTGCTAGCACTTGCTTATCTTATCAAGTAGAAGTCAATAACAGCCAACCTGAGACACATTTTATTTTCTCCGTAAGTTTCTTTTTTAGATATTCTTTTATTTGGATATTTTTCTTTCACTTGAATTTCTTAAAGTGTAACGCATTGAAAGATCAATGAAATATAGCGTTTAGATTTGTCACATAATTATGATGATGATACTGAAGCTTCTTGTCTGAAATAGGATGGTGGAAGTTTTGAGGTTTTACGGTAGCATTGACCAAAAAGTTCATGCCATACATTAATTCATTTGCTCAAAAATTTTTATTATGCACCTGCCATGTGTATATGATGCCTGATGAACACGTTTTTTTTCTATGAGGCTTACCTACCTTACCTACTAGAGGATAAATATGTAAATGAACAAACTAATTTCAGGGAGTGGATGCTATAAAGAAAATTAAATGGGGTGATGTAGTAGAGTGATGGGAGGGCCTGAGGGAATAGTAGGTAGGATAGTCATCCAAAATGATGACATTTGAGATGAGACCAGAGTGCTGAGCAGCAGCTGGGCCATGTGAAGATCTGGGGTTGGAGAGCATAGTTAGTACAAGGACTGAAGCAGGAATGAATGTGGCATGGGTGAAAAACAGAATGGAGGCTGAGGTCAGATCAGGTAGATACTTGGCAGCTCTGGTTGACCATTCAGTTTTCTTGGAGTTTGAATACTAAAGTATTCAAATTTGAGTCATCAGTATTGGTTGGATTATCTGTGGTTTTGCTCTTCAGAATCTAATACAAAACATGCTAATTAGAGGTTCCTTTGGAGCACTGGGCATAACAGCATGTGGCATAACCTCAGGACATCATTGTCATTGTTACACATTAGAGTAGAGGAAACAAACTGGGCCTCCAACGGTTTTGTTTGGAACACGAACAAAGTGGGGTTTTGTTTGTTTTTATAAATTTGATTTTTTTTTGCCCAGATTTAAAATTGTGGAACTTGAGGAGCGTAGTTTCCGTAAGGTAGTTCCTTGAGACCACAGAGGCTGCCACTCACTTGTGTGCCACCTGCCCAGGCCCTGCATGCATTTGGGTTTTAGATGTTAGAAACCAAATTTCTTATGTTGGCTTTTAAGGAAGCCCAGCACCTCAAGCCTTGGCAAATTCCTTGGTTCAGTTGTTTTAGCTCATAATGAAAGTTTCAAAATACAAACTTACCATGGTTTGACCTAATGATGGTGCAAAAAGCGATACACATTCAGTAGAAACTGTACTTTAAATTTTGAATTTTGATCTTTTTCCTGGACTAGTGATATGCAGTATGATACTCTCTCATGGGTAATTACTTTTAGTTCAATGCTTCAAACGTTCAGGCTTACTTGGCTTTTAGCTGTGTACATTAATGATGAGCATCCATCCATTGTTTTTTTCACTTTTGGTACACTATTCAATAAATTATATGAGATAGTCAACACTTTATTATAAAATAGGCTTTGTGTTAGGTGATTTTGCTATGTAAGTGTTCTGAGCATGTATAAGGTAGACTAGGCTAACCTTTGATGCTCAGTAGGTTAGGTGTATTAAATGTATTTTTGACTTAGGATATTTTCAACTTATGAGGTGTTTATTGGGATATAACCCCATCATAAGTTGAAGAGTATCTTATTAAGTATCTGTACTTAATAAAATAAGCCACTGCTGACAGGATATAACTCCAGAGGGAGTGACCAGGTCCACAGCTGAGCAGAGCTTTTCTGGGCATTTGCAGATATATCTATTTCAGAAATAGATAACATTTATTTATTTAGATGTATCTATATCTAATTATCTAGAACAGAAATGGGTGTCCCCATACAACACTGCAAAAGGAAAAAGCAAAGGGCTTCCAAGTGGGGAGGGAGTGTGGCTTGCATGTAAGTGAGCTCCCAGAAAGCTGAAATCTACTTGACTACTCCCAGCCTTTACTGCTCTCCTGTGTCAAATCCTGACAACACATGCTCGTTGTATTATGCATTTGGCACTGAATTATGCCCTGCTAGTTACCCCGATCACATGTGTAGGCCTTTTTTCTCTACTAAAAATATAAGCTCCTGTAGGGAGGAGTTAGGTGTTATTTACTTTGGGCCGTTCCTGCTATTAATAGCAGCTAACATGTATTGAGCAATTAGTATGTACTAGGTATTTTAATAAGCATTTTATTTGAATTGTCTCATTAAGTCCTTACATTAACCCCAAGGATCTAGATCCTGTTTCCCCCCTCATTTTACAGATGAGAAAACTCAGTCTCAGAGGTTACTCCTAAGATCACATTTTTAGAAAGTGGTAGAGTCAAGATTGCAGCAAAAGTCTACGTTCAAAGGTTTTGTTCGTAACCACTGGAGATCACATTACTACTTCCCCTTAATAGTAACAGCCATCATTTATTAAGTGTTTATGTTATGCTACAAATATACTCTTTTGTGTACTTCTTTTTTTAAAAAAAAGATTTTATTTATCTTTAGACAGAGGGGAAGGGAGGGAGAAGGAAAGGGAGAGAAACATCAAAGTGTGGTTGCCTCTTGTGCGCCCCCTACTGGGGACCTAGCCTGCAACCCAGGCATGTTCCCTGATAGGGAATTGAACCGACAACCCCTCGGCTCACAGGCGGGCACTCAGTCCACTGAGCCACATCAGCCAGGGCTCTTTTGTGTACTTTTTATATGGTGGCTTATAACATTTCATGAAATAGGTTACATTTTATTGAGAAACTAAGGCTCAGAGAGGTTAAGTAGCTTACTACAGGCCACACAGCTAATAAATATGACTTCAAAAGTTGGTCTTCATGTACTAAACTTTGACAAGAATACTTAGTATAACACCGTTTGTGTAATTATCACTTAATAAATTTTTGTTGAATTACCTTCTTTACAAACTTCTGAATGGAAGAGAACACACATACTATGGAATTTATTCATGTAAACAGAACTATAATCTATGTGGAATTAACTCTGTTTACATACTTGAGTTTAATGTACTCTTTCCTAGCAGATGCTCACCAGCTGCTTCCTCCCCTAGAATGTCATCAGCTTTTTGTGCGCTCCCTGATCTTGAGCTGCACTGGTTAGACCTTTTTTTTTCTTTTTCAAGACTTTTTGATGAATTATTTTGCTTGGTGATACAGTTAGGAGGGGTTGTGGTTAGAAGTAGCTTATAACAGACTCACAAAGTAAGAAATGCCTTGTCTTTGACTACCTACATCCCTGCAAACTATCTACTTGATTCTCTGTGCCTTTGTTTTCTTTTTATCATAGAGGTATCTGAGCAACTGATAGACAACACAAGAGAATTTACATTTGAACAAGAGCCCAGAGACTTTAATTTACACAATGATTTGCTGATATAAATAGGAGTCATATGTATATGGGAGATGTCTAAGGGAGGGGGGACGTCAGCCTGCAACCTGATCCCTCAAGTAGTAGTTGACACTTGTGGTTCCCCAGCAGGTCTCTGATTCCAAATGGCCAGCAATGAGATACAGTAGTCCCTGAGTGGCTTTTTCTCTGTACCTATATGAAGTATTGATAGGATGACCCTTCATCATTCGGTTGGCTTTTTAGCTCTTCACAAATGCTGGTAGGAACCATTTAGTGAATGACATTGAATGCCAAAAATCACAGCTGTGTGTTCTGGTCTTTGTTCTATATTTAAACATCTCTTTGATAGAAGTTGAATTATTTTTATATGAATGTCTAATCACTATGTTATACACCTGAAACAAATATACTATTGTATGTCTACTGTAATTGAAAAATAAAAAATATTTTAAGAAAAGAAGTTCACAATTTTTTTCCAGCTTAGTGAGGTTATGATTAACAAGTAAAAATTGTATGTATTTAGGTTGTACAATGTGATTATTTTTAAGGCGTACAACATGATGATTCAATAGACATATACATTATGAATTGTTATCCACACTCAAGTTAATTAAGATCCATCACATCACAGTTACTTTTTTTTTCTTTTTTTTCGTGTGGTGAGAACACTTAAAATCTATTCTCTTAGCAAATATCAAGTATATAATAAAGTATTATTAACCATAATCACCATGCTATACATGAGGTCTCCAGAACTTATTATTGAAATTTTGTACCCTTTGACCAACATCTTCCCATTTTCTGTATCTCCCAGCCTCCGGCAACTACCATTCTATTCTGTCCTTCTTCGAATTTGACTTTATTAGATTCTACATAGAAGTGAGATCATACAGTATTTGTCTTTCTCTCTCTGGCTTACTTCAGTTAGCATAATGCTGTCAAGTGTCATACATGTTATTGCAAATGGCAGGATTTCTTTCTCTTTTTCTTCTTTACTTATTTCATGGCTGAATAATATTCCATGGTATATATGTGCCACCTCTTCTTTATCTGTTCATCCATTGATGGATATTTAGGTTGCTTCCACATCTTGGCTATGGTGCATAATGCTGCAGTGAACATAGGGGTGCATATAGCTCTTTGAGGTTCTGATTTCATTTCCTTTGACTACATATACAGAGGTGGGATTGCTGGATTGTATGGTAGACCTATTTTTAGTATTTTGAGGAAACTCCATACTACTTTTCATAGTGGCTACACCAATTCACATTCCCACTAACAATGTATGAGGGTCCCCTTTTCTCCACATTCTTGACAACACTTCTTATTTGTTGATTTTTTTGGCGATAGCCCTTCTAACCAGTTTGGGATGAGAGCTCATTGTGGTTTTGATTTGCATTTCCCAGATGATTAGTGATATTGAACAGTTTTTTCATGTACCCGTTGGCCAGAAGTAGACTAAGCAAGAGATTTTAATATTTCTTTACTCAATTTTGAAATATTTGCATTTCAGGAACTGATTGTTCTCCTTATATCAGACAGCAAGTAACTTAAATTGTGTGGAGTAAAATTTTACATTATACTTTCTTTTCTGTAACCCAGTTATTTTTGATATGTTATACTCTCCACAAGGGACAATGATTCCTCTTTTCTTTTTTTAACTTGTAATTGATGAATAGTTTTCTGTAGAAAAACTGCACGAGTTGTTATATACAGTTCAATGATTTTTCACAAGTGATTTTTGCAAATGATTTTTCACTAATATAACTAGCATACCAGAAGCCCTACCTGTGACCCTTTTTGGTCACTCCTCTCCCAAAGGGCAACTATTATCCTGACTTCTAACCCCATGGATTAGTTTTATTGACTCTTTTTAAACTTTATATAAGTGACTTATAGATAATTTATTTTTTATGTGTCTGCCTTCTTTCATTCGGTGTTATATTTATGAGATTGACTGATAATGTTGCCCATAGGTGTAGATGGTTTATTCTCATTGTACGCATTCTATTGTGCCAATATACCACATTTAATTTATCCATTCTCCCATTGATGGACATTTGGGTAGTTTACAGTTTGGGGTTTTATGAGTAGAGTTTTTAATGAACATTTTCATACTTGTCTCTTGGAGTTCATGTGCCTACATTTTGGTTGGGCACATATGGGTTGTAGGGTTACATCTGATTCTCTCTTGTAAATAATATCAGCTTTCCCAAGTAGTTTTGCCAATTTACACTACTAAGAGCAGAAATTGAGAGTGCTACTAGACCCTTCATATCCTCACCAACCACTTGGTGTTTTCTGGTAGGTGTGCGTATTGTTATCTTGTGGATTTAATTTACATTTCCCTGATGACTAATGAAGTTGAGCACTTTTTTATGTTTATTGGCAATTTGAATATCCTCTTGTGAAATGCCTATTCAAGTCTTTTTCCAGTTTTTCTATTTGGTTGTCTCTTTTCCTTATGAGCTTTTGAATATATGTACATGTGTGTATTATGTATAAATGTAAGCATATACTAAAGATCATATATATGCAAGTCCTTTGTAATAAATTGCAAATATCTTCTCTTTATACCTTAACTTTTTTGTTTCCTGAATAAGATATATTTCAATGAACTGAAGTTTTTAATTTTAATATAGATGGCTTTATACATTTTTTTTCTTTATGGTTAATATTATTTTGGTTCTATTTAAGGAATCATATTTGTTTTGTTTCACGGTCATGAATGTGTTTTATGTTTTCATGTAAAATCTTGCTGTAGTTACATATTTATTTGTTCATTTATTTTAACTTTTACGTTTAATCTGCAGTCTGTCTGGAATTGACTTTGTAAATAATGTGAAGTAGGGCCAAGAATTTTTTCCCCCATATGGATATGTAATTGATCCAGCACCACTTATTTAAAAACCATTCACTTTTCACTGCAGCTGGTTCTCTTTTAATGGGATAAAGGAAACCTTTTTAGACATGGTTAAATGATGTAAAACATGGTCTTTTTAATATTTCCAATTTATTCTTTTTTTTATGTTTTAGGTTGACGAACCCATGTGTGATAATTCAGAATTTGAGGGAAACCTGAAGGTCAGTAAATTCAACTTTAGCTATTTGGGCTTAAACTCATAAGAGTAACTGGGGGTAGGGCAGCGTGAGCAGAGCCTAAATTTGAACTGCTTTGAGAAAAATGAACTACTTTGTTCTCCTGTGTTATTGCCAGTTTTTATTCAGGGGTTGTAAAGTCAGATAAGTTGGATTACAATACAAGTTTTAATCATATACAGAATGTGGTCAATAATTATATTTAGGATTAAGAGCCAGAGAAAGAAAAAAATGTTAATATTTCTTGTTTTTTTTTGTTTTGTTTTTTTTTTACTTTATATCTAAGGGTACAATTTGTTTCCCGGTTCCTGGTGTTTTTCCTGATACTTTGAACACAGTCAGAATGAGAGTCAAAACAAATAAGTTATGCTATGAGGATAACAAACTCTGGAGTGATTGGAGTCCAGTGATGACTATAGGTAAGGGAATAGGACTTCATTAAAACTGAAACCACTGATGGGGAGGAAGGACTGTTCTGCCTTCTTGATGTCAGCCAGAGAGTATAACATCTGAAATGCATTTTCTGTTTCATTACTGTCAAATTACACAAGGTAAATTTGCAATATATAGTTCTTTGAAAATCCGCAATCTGAATGGCCTTCTCTTCTGTCCTGTCTCCATCTTTATTAATGACCTGAACAAAAATATAGAAGATAGGCATGATTAAATCTACAGATTATACAATGCTAGAAGACTAATCTATATGCTGGTGATAGAATCAAGAGTAAAACAATGGCCCTTTATGACATTTAATAGGGATAAACCTGTATCTAGATTTGAAAAAATCAGTTTCATTTATTAATCGAGAGGCTGAACAAGCTATGTGCCAGGCTCAAGTACTGGATTGAAAACACCTGTGATTTATGAATATGTGTGTTGTAGGGTGGAGTATGGGGTTTTATTTGACTGTAAATTCCAAGTGACTGGACACTCAACCCCTAAGTGTCCATAAAGGCATATGCAGTCATAGGTAGCACTGATAGAGTAGCACCTAAAACAAGGGAGTGCTTCAGAGTGGGACACAGTGTCCCAACAACATCAGAAGTGTGCTGTATTCATTCTGGGCACCACATTGTAGGAGGCGAATCAACAGACTGGAATCTATCTTGAAAGGTAATCGGGATGCTGAAGAATCTCAAAATTTAGTGAGGAACAGTTGATGAAGTAAGCTTGCAGAGTTATGATTCATGAATTCTAACATTTGAGATATTGTCAGATGGAATAGGCAGGCTCTGTGCCTTTCTTGTAGCTCCATGGGGCAACTTAAGGACTTTCTAACTGCTATCTAACAGTCAGAGACAGGTGGCTGAGGTAATCAGTTCCCTATTAATTGATAAACTGAACAAGCTATGCACTAGACGTGGTTGTATTAGTTATCTGTTATTGTATAACAAATCACCCCAAAATGTGGTGGCTTTAAAAAAACATATTTATCATCTCAGTTTATTTCTTGTGTTAGGAATCTGGGCACAGCTTATCTAGGTACCTCTGGCTCAGATTCTCTCATGAGGTTACAGTCGAGCTGTCAGTGAAGACTAGAGTGAGATCTGAAGGCTTGACTAGGGCTGGATAGTCCACTTCTGAGCTCACTACTAATGTGGTCATTGGGGAGCCTCAATCGTATCCCCCAAAAAGATATGTCCAAGTTCTAACTCCTGGTACCTGTGAATGAGACCTTATTTGGAAGAGTTTTTGCAGATACAATCAAGTAGAGATGAGGTCATACTGGCTTGGAGTAGGCCCTAAACTCAATGACTAGTATTCTCATAAGGAGAGAGGGAAGATGGCAGGGTAGGCAGCCATGGCTCACCTCTTCACACACCACATCAAAAATACAACTAAAATATAGAACAACCACCGCTCAGGAATATCAGAAATAGAGCTGAATGGAAGTGTGGCAACTCTGAAATGGAGTTGAATGGAAGTCTGACAACTACAGAGTTAAACCACATCCATACAGACTGATAGGAGGTGCGCAGACACAGAACAGTCTGGTCCCACACCTACGTGGATAAAAATTTGGGAGGGATATCTTGGTGGGAGAAGTCCCAGACCCACACCAGGACCCCAGCCCAGGGTCCTACAGCCAGGAAGATAAGTCCCCACAACTTCTGGCTGCAAAAAATGAGCCAGGAGCAGGGATTGAGTCTGAGGAAGAAACTTTTGGAGCTCCAAAAAGTTCCTCTTCAAGAACGCACGCACGGACTCACTCAGACTCTCTCTGAACTCTAGCACCGGGGTAGCAGCTTGAAAGGCACCAGTGATGTACAGAGAGAAACTGAAGTGTCTGTTATCAAGATGAGCAGAGGCCATTGTCCCTTTACTAAACCCTTCCCCCACAGAGCTTGTAAGCTAGTGCCATATCTGAGACTCCAACAACCTGGCTAACCCTGTTTGACACTAGGATATTCTCCAGAGGCTCTACCCCACCCAATTTACGGGCCCACCCAAACTGCTTTTCCGTAAGAATGGCTGGTCTTGGCTTATAAATCCCATCAAACAAGCAACAGCTGTCTTCAGTGAGCCCTAGTTGCAGCCAGATTAGATTCACAGTTTGATTTGCCTGGAAATCTTCAAGCCCAGCACAAGTAGCAGCCACCTCAGACTGCTTTAAAGCTCAGGCAGGGTGGTCCTGGCAAAACACAGGTGAAAGGCTGACCTTGATCTGTACCACCCAGGAAACCCCAGGGCCAATATAATCAGTGGAAGCTACAGACCACATGGGAGCACCACCACTCTCCCTCTGCATGCCTGATCCTCCCCGGAGGGCGGAGGTTGGTGGTCAGTGGTGACAGCCAGTCCTTGCAGCTGACTGGCCTGGGTAAATCCCTCCCATTGATCTGGCAACAGCAACCAAGTCTCAACAACAAGAGGAGGGTATAATCAGCCCACACAAAGGATGCACCTCAAGTACCCAGTTGCAGTGAGAGGGGAGGCTGTGCCACTGAACCCTAGAGGACACTTACTACATTAGGCCACACTACCAAGATGGGGAGTCAAGGCAGCGAAAGTGAGGAGATAAAGAAATGGCCTAAATGAAAGAACAGATCAAAACTCCAGAAAAGGAGTGAAATGAAATGGAGATAAGCAGTCTGTCAGATGCAGAGTCCAAAATACTGGTTATAAAGATGTTCAAGGAACTTATTGAGGACCTCAGAAGCATAAAAAAGACCCATTCAGAAACAAAGGATACACTAATTGAAATATAGAACAATTTAGAGGGAAACAACAGTAGAGTAGATGAAGCCAAGTGAAAAAACAACCAATCAGAGCAACAAGAAGAAACGAGAATAAAAAAAAAAAAACACTAGGGTAGTGTAAGCAGCCTCTGGGACAACTTCAAGAGGTCCAACATTCACCCATAGGGGTACCAGAAGAAGAGGAGAAAGAGCAAGAAATTAGAAATCTATTTGAAAAAATAGTGAAAGAAAACTCCCCCAATTTGGTGAAGGAAATAGATATGCAAGTCCGGGAAGCACAGAGAGTCCCAATTATGATGGATGCAAAGAGGCCCATTCCAAGACACTTCATAATTAAAATGCCAAGGTTAAAGATAAGGAGAGACTCTTAAAAGCAACAAGAGAAAAGAAGTTAGTTACTAGAAGGTTGCCAAATGAGGGGAGGGGAGAATGGGTGAAAAGGTGAGGGGATTAAGAAGTACATAGGTAGTTACAGGATATCTGTGGGGGTATAAAGTACAGTATAGGAAATGGAGTAGCCAAAGAGCTTATATGCATGACCCATGGACATGAACAGTGGTGGGGAGACTGCCTGAGGGAGTAGGGGGTGCTGGGTGAAGGGAGGCAAAGGGGTAAAAATCAGGACAACTGTAATAGCATAATCAATAAAATATAATTTAAAAAAAGAAGAAGAGAGGATACACAGAAATACAGAGACATGGACACACAGGGGAGAAGACTATAAAGGATGGAGGCAGGGATTGGAGTGATGCAGCTACAAGCCAAAGAATGCTAAGGATTCTGGGAACCACCAGAAGAACCTAGGAACAGGCAAGGAGGAGTTCTTTAGAGCCTTCAGAGGGAGCATGTCCCTGTTGATACCTTCATTTTAGACTTTTAGCCTCCAGAACTGTGAGAATATATATTTCTGTTGTTTTAAACCAACCAGGGTATGGTGATTCGTTACAGCAATTCTAGGAAATTAGTACAGAGACCTCCCTTAGTTCCTTGCCACATGGATCTCCCCATAGGGGCTATCTCATGACATAGCAGCAGCTGGCTCCCCCAAATGAGTGATCCAAGCAAGAAAAAGTGTATGAGAGAACACGCAATATGGAAACCACAATCTTTTATAAGTTGATCTTGTAAATGACATCTCATCACTGTTGCTATTCATTTCTTCACAAATGAGCCAATTAGTCCAGCCCACTCTCAAGGGGAGGGAATTACACAAGAGTGTGAATATCAGGAGGCAGGGATCATTTGGGGTTATTTTAGAGGCTGCCTAAAACAATGATGTTAGACCTTGATGGTTTCTAAATGTTCATGCTGAAGTGGAAAAGATAAGCAAATAAATAGACATATGATATTTCATGTGTTAGGTGTAACAAGGCAGTTAATGAAAGACTAAAATTGGACAGTGCTGGATTTGAGACTTGGCTCCATCATCCTAAAGTCTTAGGCACAAGCTAGTAAACCGCTCTGAGCCTTATCCTTCTCATCTGTATAAATAGGAGACAATATTATCTATCTCTGTAGCATAGATATAAGCATGTAGAAGCATCTAGTATTGTATCAGACATATAGTAGGTGCTCAGTTAAGAATACTAGTAGTGGGCTCTGGCTGGTGTGGCTCAGTGGATTGAGTGCCGGCCTGTGAACCAAAGGGTCTCCAGTTCAATTCCCAGTCAGGGCACATGCCTGGGTTGCAGGCCAGGTCCCCAGCAGGGGTGTGCGAAATGCAACCACACATTGACGCTTTTCTCCCTCTCTAAAAATAAATAAAATATTAAGAAAAAGTAATGCAGGCCTATCTTTATTTTTAAAAACTAGTAGTAGTAGTTGTAGGTAGGACGATTTTAGGTGTACTAATAGTATTAAGTAACCAATTAGAAAAGATAATCACTGTTAATGAGATAACGTATTTAACAAATATAACATCTTTGCTAATAGTGTCCGAAGCTTGTTAAGATATTTTGGTTTCAGATAATTTTTAAGGTGTTTATTCATTAATGGAATTTTAGGTACCAGAGCCGGACTCTTCCTCCCACCCCCAGTATTTAGATAACAAGATAACAGCAGATAAGGTAATTGAAGGCTTTTGAGAAAAGATTGAGGTAGAGGGCAGAAATATCTGTGACCTCACTAGTCTGTAAGAGAGCTGTTTCTTGGTCTATTTTTAAAAGGATTTGATTTCTCATATCTTCCTGTTTGCTCTTCGTTTTCCAGGTAAGAAGACCAATCCCACACTCTACACAACCATGCTACTCATCATTCCGATCATTGTTGCAGGTGCAATCATAGTCCTTCTGCTCTATCTAAAAAGGTAAGGCAGCTGCTCAGGCAAGCTTGACAGTTTCTGCTAGCCTGGTTGCTAAAGTTATTACTCCATGTTTGCCCAGTATACTAAAAGCATCTGGATTATAACTGGCTTTTAGTACTATGGAATGGCAAAGAAATATTATTATGCCCATTTTCTGGCAAGGGAAGTGTTAGACTAGTTTCCCAGGGCTCTGCTCATGCACCGCTCCCTTTGCATGGGATTAAAATTATTGATAAGACCTATGTTCACTCTACTCTTTCAAATGCCTAATTTATTGACAGTTAGTTGATAGCTGTTGGAATGAAGTTTTAGAAATGGAGACCATTACTCACCAAATGACCTGTCTGGTATGAATGCAAATCAGGTTGCTACTTAATGCTGTAGGAATGAGAGCTTCACCAAGTTGTCCATAATATACAGTATTTATTCCTTGAGAATGTTTTCCTTTCTCTATCTCACCATAGAGACTTGTCTGGTACTATCGTTTGCTCCTTCAGTAAATACTTACCTTTATTGAGTGCCTATCTGTGTGCCAGCCACCATCCTCATTGCTGGCATTACAGCAGTGAACAGTAAAAAGTCCCTATCTACATTGTAGTGGGAGGGATACGCATATATATAAAACAAATTATATGTGTATATAAAACAAGTCATAAATACAACTTCACATAGTGAGTATAAACTGGTGGGGGTAGTAGGGAGAAAGGCTAGATATTCAGAGAAAGAGTATTCTAGGGCAAGGGAACAGTAAGTGCAAAGTGTCCGAGGCTGGGTGAACTTCATGTGTCTTGTTGGAGTAGAGTGTGCAAGAGAGAAAGCAACAGGAGATGAGGCTGGAGAGATTGGCAGGGTTGGATCATATAGGCCATGGCAGGGATTGAGATTTTATCCTAAGCATAAGGGGGAAACATTGGAGAGTTTTAAGCAGGAGAGGAACGTGATCTGGTTTACTGTCACGAAAGATCACTATAGTTGCTGAGTGAAGAATAGGCAAGAACGGAAGCAGGCAGATTAGTTTAGAAGGGGAGGTATTGCAGTGTTTGAGGGGAAAGATGAGAGTAGCCGAACTAGATGGTTGGCAATGGAGGTAGTAAGAACTGGTCCAGTGTGAGATAGATTTTGAAGATAAAGTTGGTAGTACTAGCTGATGGCTGCTTCTCTGGATGTGTGGGGGAAATTGAGGATTCAAACATAACTTAGATTTTTGGCTTCAGCAAACTGAGTGAATGCTGGAGCTATTTACTGTGGTAGAGAAATTTGTGAGGAGAGCTGGTTTAAATATAAAGGTGAGACACCTATTAGATATTCAAGTAGCAATGTTAAATAGGTTGTTGTATACATGAATCTGGAGATTAAGAGAGGTCTGGGATGGAGATAAAATTTTGGAAGTCCTTGGCATGTAAATGTATTTAAAGCCCTAAGACTGGAAGAAAGTGCTCATGAAGAGAGTGAGATAAAGAGGAAAAAGGCTGAACCCAGGGGCATACCAATGTGCAGAGACCTAGGAGATGGTGTAGTCCACCAAAGTGGAGTAAAAATAGAGGAGCGAAGTGACAAAAAGAAAAATAAAAGAGGAATGTACCATGTTCTCAGATTAGTTTTTTCAAAATTATAAACAGCAAGCTCCCATCTGGTCTATGGTAACTAAAGCATTATTATCAAATGATAGGGTATCACACACACAAGCATAACTATGTGAGATGATGCATGTGTTAATTAGTTTGATTCTGGTGATCATTTCATAATGTATATGTATATCAAAACATCGCATTGTACATGCACTTCAAATAGGTACAATTTTTAAAAAGATTTTATTTATTTTTAGAGAGAGGTGAAGGGAGCGAGAGAAAGAGTGACAGAGAAACATTGATCTGTTGCCTATTGTATGCGCCACAACCAGGGACCAAACCCATAACCAAGGCATGTGTCCTGACAGGGAATCGAACCAGTGACCTTTTGCTTTGTGGGATGACGTCCAACCAACTGAGCCATGCTGGCCAGGGCCAATATGTACTATTTTTTTTCTTTCTTTCTCTTTTTAAACCAGATTGATTTTATTTATTTATTTTTTTAAATGTCAAATCCATTATAAAATATTAAAAAATTTAAATCCATTATAAAGCTCAGTGATTAAAACAACATGACACCAGCACAGAAATAATCAAGTAGATCAGTGAAATAAAGTGAGCATTCTAGAGACAAACATATATATCTGTCTAACAATGTAATATATGATTAAATTAATATTTCAAATCAATGGAGAAAATAAGGCTTATCAACAAATAAAGTGCATGGACCACTAGTATTTGAAATAAAACAAATACAGAGCCCTATTTCTCACATTATACACAAAATATTCAGGGGAGTTAAAACTCAATATGTAAAATCTAAGGAGTTTTAGGAGAAAATACGAAATAATATTTTCAAACCCAGAAGCTATAAAGCAAAAATATGGACAATATGACTATATTAAACATTTGAGACAATGCAGTAATATACATATAAAATAGTTAAAGGACAAGTAATAGAATAGGAATGTATTTGCCACGCATCTAAGAAAGGGTTAATAGTTTTTTGGGGGGTTTTTAGGGAAAAAATTCTACAAACATTTAGTCAAAAATTGATAAAGGAATACCAAAAAGTCATTTAAAGCTTTTTAAAAAATAATAGAAATAGGCAAGGAATATACAAAAACAGGTTTAGTTTCAACAAATTATCAAGTAACAATTAAAATAGCACATCATTGTCACAATCAGATTAATAAGTATTAAAAATATTGGTAATATCAAGTATTGGTGACTGTGAAAAGAACTGGGTATTCATAGACTCTTTTTCCTCATCTTCTTAAAGCAGTCCCTTTAGCATGTTTTGCAATGTTGGTTTGCTGGAGGTGCATTCCTTTAGCCTCCTTTTGTCTGGGAAACGCCTTATTTTGCCTTCCATTGTAAATGAGAGCCTTGCTGGGTCGAGCAGTCTTCATTGCGGGTCTTTGCTTTTCATTCCTTGAAATATTTCTTGCCATTCCCTTTTGCTTGTAGTGTTTCTGTTGAGAAGTCAGCTGTTAGCTGTATCGGGCCTCCCTTATATGTTACTACCTCTTTCTCCCTTGCTGCATTTAGAATTCTCTGTTTGTCTTTGATAATTTGCCATTTTAATGATGATGTGTCCTGGAGTGGGCCTCATGGGGTTCCTCCTGAATGGGACCCCCTTTATGCTTCCTGGACGGGTGAGACTTTTTCTCTCCTCCAACTAGGGAAGTTTTCCATCATTACTTTTTCAAACAGGTTCTCTATCCCTTGCTCCTCTTCTTCTCCTTCTGGTATCCCTATTATCCGGATATTATTACGTTTCAGGTTGTCCTGCATTTCCCTAAATGCCTTTCATTCTTTTTGAGACTTTTTTCATTTTCTTGCTCATTCTGGGAGGTTTTTTATACCTTATTCTCCAGCTCGCCGATCCGACCCTCTGCTTCATCAAGCCTGCATTTGATTCTTTCTTCTGTGTTCTTCAGTTCAGAAATTGTATTCTTCATTTCCTCTTGTGTCTTTTTGATAGTTTCTATGTCCTTTTTCATGGTGATATAGTTTGCAGTAAGTTCCTCATAGTTTCCCTGTAGTTTTTGGTAATTCTCTCTGAGCTCACTGAGCTCATTGAGCTTCCTTAGAATCGTTGTTTTGAACTCAATATCTGATAGTTGACTTGCGTCTACTTCATTTAGGTCTCTTTCTGGGGATTCCTCCTTTCCTTTTGATTGGGGGATGTTTCTTTGTCTTCCCATTTTTTGTGAGAGTCTTCTGTTTTGCTTCTGCTTCTTAAATTGATCTGTCTTTACTTCCTGACTTTGTGGTGTGCACTTCTATGGCAGGATGCTGCTGTTTTTTCTTTCTGGATCTGCCTCTGATGTTGTCAGATGTTGACCCTGTCTGATCTTAGGCAGTCTCTTCAAGACTTCCAGGAATCTATTGTCTGTGGCTGCCTCCTTCAGCTGTTAATCTAGTTACTCTGTACTCTTCAGGCCAATTTAGACACCACAGGGTGGGCAGAGTCCCTCCTGGGGGTGGGGTTATGAGGTCCTCTCACGCTGCTCCCGCTCAGGGGAGTGGTATGCCAGAGCCAGATGACTGCTGCTGCATGGGGACGAGTCAGCACCGGGATCCCGCTGGCTACTCTCTTTGTTCTCTCCCCAGAGTCTCCATCTCCAGCCACTCCTCAAGTGTCTCTAGAGCACTCTGCACCCCCTTTAGCCAGGGATCTAGTATCTGTGGCTGCCACTCTGTACTCAGCAGTCAGGCTTTAGCACTACCGGGCCAGGGCCGAGTTCCTCCTGGGGGTAGGGTATTGTGTCCTCTCACCCTGTTGCTGCTCAGGGGAGTGGTCTGCCTGAGCAAGATGGCTGCTGCTGCATGGGGGTGAGTCAGCACCGGGATCTGGCCAGCTACTCTCTCAGTTCTTTCCCCAAAGTCTCTTTCCCCAATCTCTCCTCCAGTGTCTCTAGCCCGTTCTGCCCCCACTTTTGCCAGAGACCAGGGTAAGTGGCTGCAAATAAAAATTTATGTGTTGGCCCTTTAAATGGCTCTTTGTGTCTCTAGCTGCCTCTCTGTGGCAGAGAGCAACCCTGCCACTTTTTGCAGTTGGTTGACCTCTGTGTACTTTTTGGGCTCTAGTGCTGTAGGCTGGAAGTCCCCGCTTATGATTTAGACCCTGCTCTTCTCAGGGGGGGTCCAGCTGGTCGTTTCAGTGTCCTTCTGTAGCTGCTGCCCGTGTGCGCCCTGCCCGCTTTCTCAAGTCTCTACCACACTCATTACCAGTCAGGTTGTGCTAAAGCTGATTCTTCTGTCTGTCCGAGGTTATAAGGCTCCTCCCTCACTTTTGTTCAGTTTTTTTGTTCCAGGTGATTTCTCCCCAGTTTAGTTGTAATTCCAGGTTGGTCCTGGGAGATCAGTGCAACTTCCACTCACTCTTCCGCCATCTTGAGTCTCCCAAATATGTACTATTTTTATTTGTCAATTAAATCTCAAAGCAGGAAACAATTTTCAATAGTAGGTTGTAGGTAGTCTGCTTATCCTGAAGGTCCCTTTATTCCACCCACACTTGATCCTCTTTGGACACTGATTTCTCAGTTTGTTTTAGAAATTTCTTGCCCTGACAGAGTAGCTCAGTTGGTTAGAGTGTTGTCCCAATACATCAAGGTTGCAGGTTCGATCCCAGTGAGGGTGTATACAAGAAGCAACCAACAAATTCATCAATAAACGTAACAACAAATCTATGTTTTTTCTTTCTCTCCCCTCTTTCCTCTCTCTCCAAAAAAAAATCAATAAATGAATTTTTTTAAAAAAAGGAATTTTTTTACAGCTGCTGTATCACAAAAGATGTATTGTTTACCATAACTTTTGTCCAAGCCTTCTTTTAACATGACTATATTTAAGTATGACATTCTATGCAGTGAAAGATTTGATCAAAAATGTCTCTGTTTTCTTAAAGGCTCAAGATCATTATATTCCCTCCAATTCCTGATCCTGGCAAGATTTTTAAAGAAATGTTCGGAGACCAGAATGATGATACTCTGGTGAGCACTGACTCCATGAGATTCAAAATTGTTTGTTTTTTTTTTTAACTATGGGATCTGTTTTAAGTTTGGTAAAATATACATAACATAGAATTTACCATTTTAAGGGTGCAGTTCAATGGCATTAAGTATATTTATAATGTTGTGTAACTGTCATCACTCTTTCTTGAACTTTACATCATCCCAAACAGAAACTGTGCCTATTAAACAATAACCCCCAGTCCCTGGTAACCACTATTCTACTTTCTGTCTCTCTAAATTTGCCTATTCTAGGTGCATCATATAAGTGGAATCCTTCAATATGTGTGCCCTTTTGTATCTGGCTTTTTCCACTTAGCATGTTTTCAAGGTTCATTCATGTTGTAGCATGTGTCAGAATTACACTTCAAAATTGCTTATTTGGAATTACATTTTATCTAAAAAATTAATGAAGAGCCGATTGGAAATGTCTCCAGAACACTTTGTCGTAGCCCTTGGCTTCATTCTCTCTCTGGAGTCGGGGACATGTTTGATCCTAACATATGGGGGAAGAGCCTCTGATATGGAACTAGCTGAATAGGCAAGGTGTATGACTCTTGGAATAATTTTTACAGCTTGATTTGGGGAGCTATAAAGATAGGGTAAACAATTGAAATAGATTTTGTTCATGCTATTGCTTGGAAAGCTGGCCTCTGAATGTATAACAGCTGAACTCCAGTTATAGTTGGTTTGCTGCAATCTCTGATGTCAGAATTTGTGGCTGGAAAACCTAAAACCTTATGGGAACAAAGGAGTTTGAAGTTTCTCTAATAAATACATTGGCCCAAAAAACACAAAGAAGACATTAAATAAAATAAATCTCAATACTATTTTATATATCTCAAATTATTAATATCAGGCATAGAGCAGTTAATAAGGGAAGTAGTTTAGCATAGTAGTCTGGGCTCTGGAGTCAGATTATCTGGATTCAAATCTCTACTGTGTCATTTACTATCTCTTTGACCTGAAGAAATTTCCTTAACCTTTTGTGCGTCGGTTTTCCCATTTGTAAAATGAGAGGTAATGGTAACACTTGCCTCATAGTGTTGTTATGTGGATTAAATTTCTTTAACACGTAAAAACCACTTAGTGTGCTTGGCACATTATAAATCCTTAGTAAGTATTAGTGATTTGCATTATTACTGATAATATTTTCCATTTATCTTTAGTCCCCAAACAATTCTTGTAATGAAGAGTGATTCACAATGGCAAAGATGATATGTAGGTAGGGAAGGAGGCCAGGTAGGCTGATGTGCTAGCCAAGGACGCTTCATTTGGATCACTTTTTCACCAAGTCATGCTGACAGACAGTGAATAACTTTGCCAGACTCTAGGGGATAGGGCACTGCTAGGCAGGTAGGTAAAGGTAGCTCCAGAAGTCAGCTGTCTGAGGAGGAGATTGTACATGGTAACGGAGGTGAATATGGCAACCAGTGGTTCTTCAATTTTAGTTGAGTTGCTATCACCTAGAATGTTTGTAAGAACGTAGAATCCTGGGCCTTAGCTCTAGAAATTCTGATTTAGCAAGTCTGGGATGGGGCCCAGGAGTCTGCATATTTGTCAGGAGCCCACAGATGATTCCAATCTTGGGAAGATGGTATGTGGACCAGACTTTGAAAATCATTGTTATAGATATTTGCCTTCAGATTACTCCCCCATCTCTTTCTTCATTTCACCAGCTACTGTGATAGATCACAGAGGTTGGGGATTGTGCAAGTACACTAAAAACAACTCTAACCAGCTATTAAAGGTCTACTATGTACCAGGCAGTGTACTAAGTGCTTTTCTTATATTCCCTTACTGAATGCTCACAAACACCCTGTGGTGTAGGTGCTGTTAGTACCATTTTACAGATAAGGAAATGGAGCCTCAGTAAGGCTAGTAGTTGGGATTTGACCCAGGACTGTCTAATTCCAGAGTTCTCTCTTTCCACTATGTTGCATTGCCTCTTGCTGGTTCGCTGGTTCAATTCGCAGTCTGGGCACATGTCGGGGTTGTGGGCCAGGTCCCCAGTAGGGGGCGCGCAAGAGGCAACCACACATTGATGTTTCTCTCCCTCTCTTTCTCCCTCCCTTCTCCTCTCTAAAAATAAATACAAGCTTAAAAAAACTTATTTAGGTGTGGCCACAAATAAATTGAGTCTTCTTCATAATTTTCCTTAAAGTTTCTAGTGTTTTGACAGTGTTTTGTTCATCACTGTAGTAACACTTTGGCCAACAGTATTTCTTCCTGTTACTTTGCTGTCTGCCTTTTCTCTGTGAGTAATTGGGCTGCTGGCCATATCGGGGGAGGGGGACACACAGGGGATTGCGTCTCCTTTGCATCCACAAAATATTTATCTATTCTTCCCCTGCTTCTTGGAAACCAATTTTATTTTCAGTACTGTGCCAGTTTTGCATTCTTAATTGGAAAGCAGCTTTTTAGCTTGCAGTTGACTTCAAATATTGCTGATTTTTAAAAATTCAATATGTCTCTTTAAAAACTAAGAATGTTATACCATATGGTCAAAAGAGCATGATCACACTTTAAGAATTACTCATTTCTTAGTATCATCTAATACTTAGTCCATATTTAAACTTTTTCCAATTGTCAAGAGACAGATAATATCTAGCTGTCCCACTATTAGTGAGGCTAAGATCGAACCCTCCTGCCATCTATGCTTATTTTTCCCCTTGCCACCTGACAATAATTTGTGTGGTGTTAGGTTAGTGCCCTGTCAACTCTTCAGCTAATGTTTTTACGCCAGTTGGTATTCTTGCTTGAATCACTAATTTCATTAGGGATTGTGTAATGATGATTTTTCTTTCTCATCTATCATTTAATCTACATTTATAAGCTGGCACTTTCTATAAAGCCCTGGTTCCAGGTATCAACTGGACTCTTTGGTTCTGAAATATAGTTTCTGCTAGAAAGATAGAAGACATGTTTTATTCTTTCCCTCAAGTGAAGGGTTGCATTATCAGCCACATCAAATGATACTAAATTAGTCCCCTCGATACCATATTCAGCAGTTCTTTTTTGAAGCTTCAATGATTTTAAGGAATTGGGACCTACAATTTATATTGTACAAATTTTTATTGTGCATGTTGATCTGAAGAAGACTGGGACATGTAATCAGTTGACCAGTGTTTTGCGTGGTGCTTAGGTACATGAAACCCACTACACTTCTATAGAAAATTCACTGTGAGAAATAACAAAATCTTGAAAGTATTCTTCAATTGAGAATTGATGTTCCTTCCATTATACTATGAAATTTATTTCTTTACAATATAAAAGCCTATATAACACACTATTTTTCTAGGTTTAGATTACTTACAACTAAAATCAGTTGTGTTAGCCTCCTAAACACTGATTTTTTTTCACCTGTAATATTTTTCATCTTGGGCCATTATTCTATTGTTGATTACCTTGTTTAAAGAATGAGCAGTGTGAGAATTGAATTGTGAACTCGTAATTTTGTGGATTTATTTTTTTCTGCAACTAACTTTAAAATTAGACTGACATATAATTTACAAAATTGAAGAATAGGTCAGAGCCTTTCCGTTTGTCCCTTTTACCTCACATAGCCGTAGTCATAGAAGCCGTGTTCAGGAAAAGGCCATGATGCTGATCAGAGTGAAAATGAGAGGAATCCAAGTTTTAGAAATGAAAAAAGGCAATTGAAGAAGACGAATGTATCCTCCCAAGCCTTTGCTGCTGCAGTGTTCACCTCACTGAAACAGATTGCTTTTTCCTGTCTGACACAGCTAAGCACTAGGTCGCATGACCAGAAACCAATGAAAGTATAATGCTTAGGGTACATTTTTTAAAAAGAGGACATTTTCTTTTAAAATAATATATATTTATTATTGAGAAATTAGAAATACAGATAATCAAAAGAGAAAAATAAAAGTCACTCTTAATCCTACCACTCAGATATAACCATATTTAATGTTAGGTGAACAACATAGAGAAATGAAAATACTTTTATTGGTAAATGGAATAATAGTAATACCGACAATAATGGTAATAGTTCATACTTAATGAACTTTTAGTAGGTATTAGGCACTTTTCGAGGCACTTCACTCATTAATTGGTCTCCATCTGCAGTAGGTGTTATCTCCATTATACAGATGAAGAAAATGAGGCACCAGGGGGATTACGTATAATACTGCTAGTACATAGCAATGGGAGAATCCGAACTTAATCAACAAGTGTCAGAGCTGGGATCTGAACCCAGGCATCCTGATTCTCTACACTTTTAACCAATCACATCAAATGTTTTAAGAAAATGCTCATATTTCTTTTTTTAATTGTTGTTCAAGTACAATTGTATCCATCTTCCCACCACCACTTTCTCACACCCCACCTACCCCCACCTCCCACCCTCAATCCTACCCGTCCTTTGGCTTTGTCCATGGGTCCTTTATACATGTTCCTTCCCAACCCTTTTCCTCCTTTCCCCCATTATTCCTCTCCCCTCTGGTTAGTGTCAGTTTGTTCTTTATTTCAATGTTCCTGGTTCTATTTTGCTTGCTTGTTTGTTTTGTTGTTTAGGTTCCACTTATAGGTGAGATCACATGGTATGTGTCTTTCGCCCCCTGGCTTATTTCGCTTAGCATGATGCTCTCCAGTTCCATCCATGCTGCTGCGAAGGGTAGCAGCTCTTTCTTTCTTTCTGCTGCGTAGTATTCCATTGTGTGAATGTACCATAGTTTTTTAATCCACTCATTTACTGATGGGCACTTAGGTTGCTTCTAGCACTTGTAAACTGGGAATTGTGCTGCTGTGAACATTGGGGTGCATAGGTTCTTCTGAATTGGTGTTTCATCTACCTAATAAGTGAATTTGGCAAAGCATCAGAATACAAAGTCAGTATTCAGAAATTGAAGGAATTTTTGTACGTCAACAAGAAAATGTCAGAAACAGAAATCAGGGGGAAAATCCTATTTGCTATAGCAACAAGAAAAATAAAATACCTAAGAATAAATCATATTTCATTTTATTTGAATTTAACAGGTGGGAAACAAATAGGTGAAACTAAAGGAATTTTTGAACTTCTGACAAACTATAAAGTAATATTTAATGATTATTGAAAAGAGTAATTTTTCCATTATGTTCTCCACCATCCTCTCACTGTTTTAAAAGTTCCAGTATCTACATTGTCAGTGCAGAAGGCCATTATATATTGTGTCCCTTACAGCCCTCATTTGCATGGATATGAATTTGATGCTTACTAGCTGTCTTTTATGTCTCTCTGGTCATTTTGGTTGTTTGAAGCTCTAAAAGTTTTCTCAGGAAGCATTCATGGGGCCAACATTTCCTACAATGTTACACATTGTTGGAGTTCACTGTATTAATAATTGGAAATCATTTTAGCTAGATATAAAATCTGATGTTCACACATTCTTGCCTTGGGTATCCTAAATGTGTCCTCCATTTTCTTCTAGCATAAAATGTTGCCAAAGTCTGCTGACAATATAATTTTGTTTCCATATTAAAACACTTGGTGTTTTTTGCCTGGTTGTCAGAAGATTTTTTTTTTTTTTTGCTTTGACCAATGTGGCTCAGTTGGTTGGCATTGTCCCATGAAGTGAGAAGTCGCTGGTTTGATTCCCGGTCAGGGCATATGCCTGGGTTTTAGTCTCCGTCCCTGGTATTGGTCGCCTATGAGAGGCGACCAATAGATGTTTCTCTCTCACATTAATGTTTTTATCTCTCTCTTTCTCCCTCCTTTCCCCTTTCTATAAAAATAAATAAGATCTTTTTAAAAAACAATTTTTCAAAGTCCAATCATTTTACCGGTATATGTCTTAATGCTGTTGGTCATTCTGAGTTAATTTTCCAAGGTATTATATTGTGCCCTTTCAGTATGTAGTTTCAGATTTTTAAAAAATTGTTCAGTAAAAATTTCTTCACTTACTGATTTTAGTTATTCTGTTCTCTTGTTTTCTTTGCCTGTCTTTGATATTTGCCATATCCTCTTGAATAATTTTTATCGCCTACCATTTCTTTTTGAAAAGGAGGGAAAAAGTCCTCCTTTTCATCCTGTGTTTCTTTTAAGGTATTATCTTTTGTGTTTATTTGCTCTTGTATTCCTTCTAGCTTAGTGTTCATTTCTGAGGTGATTTTCTGTCACAGCAACGCAACTTTGCTATTGTAGCATGAAATCAGCTGTAGACAATACAGAAACAAGTGTGTGTGGCTGTGTTCCAATAAAACTGTTAACAAAAACAAGTGACCTGCGGGCTTTGGCCCTTAGACCATAGTTTGCTGACCCTTGGTTTAGTCTAACAACTTTCTTGTACAGATGAGGGGACTGAGCTCAGATTTTACCCTTTTTCTTCATTAATAAGTAGAGATCGCAAGGACCAGGATATTTGCTCTCACCGTAAGAGACACACTTAAATTGAGGTCAAAGCGAGCTTAACTTATGCATAATTCCCAGTTCTAGCAAATGGTGTTACATGAAATTGTTAATACAGGGTCTTTCAAAAGTTTTAACTGCACTATGACTTTTGGGACATTTAATGTTACAGTTTACTAAGATGCTAGCTGACTTTTTGAACCTATTATATCTGTGGAGCAATGGTCAAATTTGAATGGTAAGAAAATAAAGGTCAAAATAATTGAAGTAAAAAATGTATGCCACCCTTTTATTCTTCTTCAGAAGACTTTGTTTTTAAGTTTGGAGATGTCCAAATTTGTATATCCTTTTAGGTTTTTTAAAAAGATTTTATTTATTTTTAGAGAGAGGGGAAGAGAGGGAGAAAGAGAGAAACATCAATGTGTGGTTGCCTCTCGCACGCCCCCTACTAAGGACCTGGCCCGCAACCCGGGCATGTGCCCTGACTGGGAATTGAACCTGCGACCCTTTGGTTTACAGGACAGCACTCAGTCCGCTGAGCCTCAGCAGCCAGGGCCAAATTTGTATATCTTTTAAGATAGCCATTCAATGTCACGTAACAATCCCATACTTTTTCCCTCTTTAAGTTTCATTCCTGATTGTTTTGTTTCATTAATTGTTCAAATAGATGAAGATTCTTAGGTTTAAAAAAAAAAGTAACAGTCAACACACACTCATGGTTCCATGCACGCAAAGCTAAAAATAAGCATTGATTCTGTGTACTCAGGGAAAGAACATGATTTAGAAAAGTCATTGTGTATGTTTTTTTTTTTTCCCTTTCTTCAGCACTGGAAGAAGTATGACATCTATGAGAAGCAAACCAAAGAAGAAACTGACTCTGTAGTGCTAATAGAAAACCTGAAGAGAACCTCTCAGTGATGGGGATAATTTATTTCAACCTTCATCCTGACTTTGTAAAGATTCATCCTGTTCTCCATTTGTTTTCTGGGGACTTGTTAAATGGAAAACGAAACTACTGGACTCTTTAAGAACAGGCAGCTCATAAGAGCCACAGGTTTTATGTTGTCATGCACCGAAAAACTAAAACTAATGGGCCTTTTGGAGAAGAGAGTGGAATTATTCTCATTGAATTATAAAAGCAGGCATCTTTTGTGAAGGTTACAAACTAATGGACAGAGCAAAAAAGTGATGACAGTAGAGTTGATCTTATCAAGAATTGTGACAACTGCCTGAGGGATCTGTGCCTGCTTTGTATCCCTTGTGTCAAACAATACCAGCAAATTTTATTTGTGGGAGAACTCATTTTTGGGTGCAACTGTTAGTGCCAAACTTGATTCACAGAGATGATCTAGCAAACAGAATTGAAAAAAAAAAATCTTATCTATTGTTTGGAATCCCAGTAAGTAATGTTTGTGGCTATTAAAACTTAAGAGTCTGGAATCATCATCCCTCCAGCAGCATTTTCCTCTGCTTTGAAAGGCCCAGACATCAGTGTTGGCCACAATGATGGCACCCACAGACAAAGCAGAGGCAGCTTCTGTTACCAGGACCTTTCAAAGCCATTGCAGGCTTTTAAGGGCCGCAGAGACAGAATGACGTATTGGGTATTAGAGTTTGAAGCACTGCATTCTGTAATGATATATTGTTTTTTTCTTCACCTCCTCTACTCAAATCAAGTATTAACTATGTGTCCAGATTGTGCTAGGTCCCCAGGAGTGAGGCATCTCCCTCAAAAGGTTGACAATCTGGTTGGGACTCCTCAGTTCTTAACCACTTTCTTTTTTTTCCACCAGTCATTTTTCAGACCCTTCAACTCCCTTGTTCCCACACCTGATTTCCCCTTTGCCTTTTCCCTCATTGTAGTCTTACACCTTTCAAAAGATATTGGAATAGAAATCTGCTGAAAACACCTAGAGGAGCAGAGAGTGATTTGTAGCTCAGGTAAAATGAGAGCAGACTGAGAAACAGTGACAACTTCTTGCATATTTTGTAACTTCTATGTGTCTGCATTCATTTGAAGGTTTTCAGCATTTACTATTTCTTTACGTATGTTCTAAATACAAAGGAGATATTATCTTCACTTAGAACTTTGCTCTTTGCTTGATAAGAAAAGGAGTTTTGTTTTCCTCTTTTTCCTTACTGTCACAAATAGTTATTAGTAGGTTTTATGTCTTATATAGATAACCAGCATCCAAGTCTCCAACGTTTGTATGCATTTTTTTTTGCATATGTTAGGGTTCCATTCTCACTCATCTCCACAACATATATATTCCCTCTACTCCTACTTGCTCCAAATTTATAGTATGGAAATGATAATGCCCTCCCTTCCACACCGTGTTTCTCTCCTTATACACATGGACTCAAATTACTGGTAGGAACGTGACAAATTTGTTATCACCAGTTCTCTAAACATTCACACATTTGTATTAATCAGATAGCACTAATTATAATTCCTGCTGTTAGGGGAAGGGAGATGAGAGATCCCTGCTCTTCACAGGTTTGTGAAAAAGTGGCAACCTGCTTGCACTGCAGAGGAGGAGCACTGTGTCCCCGGCTTTTCTGAGAAAATTTAGGTTCAGAGCAAGAGTAGATGCCAAGGTGTTACCTCCCTGTGCCTTTTAATTTTGAGGTCAGATTGAGGCTGGGAGACAGACATGGGTGTTCCACTTTGTTCTACTGTTCTCTAAAAAAAAAAAAAAAGTACTTTTCCTTTGTAGGAATGAGACTCCTTCCTTGCCAGGTCGTTTATAATTCTGGGAAGCAAAACACTGAAATACCTCACCCAAAGCCATTTTCCCTGTTACCTTATTTAAATTGTAGTGGTAGGAGTGCTTTGATATTCTTATTACCCAAGGAACTACTGATGCTGACTCTCAAGCATCCTGGCAGTGGAGAGATTGTATTTTGTTTCCATCCTCTTTTAGCAGTAAAATAGCTGAGGGAAAAGGGGGCAGTGAGTTATGGGAGTAACTAGCAATGGCTGTTTTACAATTGTTGAAAAGTGATCTCCAAGTCTTGGGAGCTCTTGGAGGCTTTAGTACTGGGTAGAGCGAAAGTTGGTTTACAGTTGTCCATATGGAAAACAATACAATAATTAATAAATAATACAAGAATAAATTCTGTTTCTCATACTCACAACTGCAAACCTACTTTTTCCCGCACCCTGCACATCAGTGGGAGTCTCATCACCTGTAGGAAACTAGTAGGTTCATTTACTATTTTATGTCTAACCTATACAGAATTTTTTTCTCCGTATACCTAAGTAAACCTACTGTAAGAAAGTTCATTCTTATTCTTGCATTGAGTTAAGTCTTTCTTCATCTGGGCACTAAAGGGATATGTGAAACAATGTTAACATTTTTGGTAGTATCTTCAACTAAGGATCATTGTGTTTGACTTCTTATAGGAAAGTTTGAATAAAATAAATATTGTCTTTTTATATGTCACCCAAATGTTTTCTTCTGGTTTTATTTTGGGGAAAGCACTGTGAGGAATGGGTGGCATAAAAAATGGGAATTAAAAGAATAAATGTGAAAAGTTCCAAGATAGCTATTTTATAATCAATCATTTATCATAAGCTTCCCTGATGTTCTCAATATGGCTATGTTTTCTGATAAGGCCATGCACTAAGGAATGTTAGTATTTGATACATTGTAGTGTGTTAATTAAGGGAAATAGAAAACTAGTCCTCTCTAATATTGTTTAAAATAGAGTACAATATACTTAAGGAAGCTGTCATGGTATACATGAAGGGGAACCCCTCGTTATAAGTTAATCACATTTACCAGGTTAGATTTGAAACTAACAAAATCAGTTCTCAATACCTGTCCTCTTAAGAGATGGTGATAGAGCTTCATATTTTCTATAATGACAGCAAAATGTTTTGAATGTTACAGGTTTTTTCTCATTTGTGTTGAGTCAGACCACATTTGTTAATGGTTCTGCGTCTTCACAGGATCCAAACCCCAGGATGTGTGCAGAGGGTACTGATCTTGGTTAGGTTAGTCCTGTTAATTATCTAGAATGATCCAAGAAGATTCTGGAAATCTACTTCCAGGTAAGTATAGTTTTGTTTTTTAACAGGAAACCTTTTAATTCTTAGTATGTCTGTTACGGAAAGCCAGACTCAAGACACGATTCAGGGAACGGAGTAAGCCTTTATTCACACGCGCGGGCTCAGAGGAGGCAGTCTCCAAATTCTGAGCCCCGAATCGGGGTTAGATAGGGGTTTATAAGCCCTAGCATTCCGGCGGGAAACGGATGGGCTTCCCAGGTGGGGGAAGGGATTAGCATTCAGGTGGGAGATTGATGAGATTGATGTGCTACCCAGGCGGGGGAAGGGATGTGAAAACGGGCTACAGGAACAGATAAGCAATGATTAACAGTTAACCTGGGAGGGGTCTCTGGCTAGGCTGCTCCTCTTAAGTCATCTTGCCCTTTATCATGTCAACACATTGAGTATTATGACAGAAAACATTTAACTGAAGACCCTTGGGTTGTGTAGCTGTATGAGGTCTATGGAAAACAAATTCCTGTAGCCACAAACAGGGTCACCTTATCTCAGGGGGAAAGAGCCAGAATGATCTAAGCACATTGATTTCCAGAGTCTTGTCTCTTTGAAACCCTAATGATTAGATCAAGCAACAAAAATTTTTTGGATAAATACTGCAGCTAAATCTTGCCATGCTTTTATTTCAAGGGAGGAGTTTTGCTGACATTTGGATGTGCTAGCTATTTTTATATCCCCCAAATGATTTCATTCTGAAGGTTCTTTGGCCTCTTTCCTAATGGCCACACTTTGAGTTTATCAGCAATTGCAATAGGAACATATTTCACTTCTACTTTTCAACATTTATTAGATAGACCAATATATAAAAAGAGAAGATTACTAATTATTGAGTGGCTACTGTGTGCCGTTACATGTGTTATTTCACTAAATCCTCATGTGAGTCCCAGGAGATAGGTTGCATTATTACATTCATTTTATAGGTGAAGAAGCAGACTAAGATGTTCAGTGTATGTATGCAAGATCACACAGCTAGTAATCGATTGAGACGCAATTGGAAAACAAGTCACCCCAACTTTAGAGCTTACATAACACAGCCAGTGATGCATTTGTTTGTCCTAAAGAGGCAACTACCTAAAGAATAAACATTGCACATTATTGCTTATCAACTGGAAGACTGGGAATTTAAATTATTTAATTACAAAGTGAGCTTTTTACAGTGTCTTAAGATTCATTTGTGCATTCGTTCATTCATGTGCCAGGCAATGTGCTAGGTACTAGGAATTTAGAAATGAGTAAGATTTGGCTTAGTATGAGGTGGTTAGTCAGTAGAAGGCTACTTTGTTCAGAGGAAAGAAATGTAGATTAGAATTTAGGCGTTCCAAATGACCTTGAGCAGGTATTTCTTGTCTGTCCACTTTCCCATCTGTAAAATACAGATAGATGTTAGGCTTAGTGATTTTTTTTGCCTTTAATTATTTTTATTGCTCAAAAGAGCTTCATTTTTTTAAATTTAGCTTTCTGACTGTGCTTGTGACTTCAATATTTTCACAACAATTTTCTGCTTCTCAATAAGGATAGCACGCTTGATCCTGTCACGCACACATTTAGTACCTGTGGGCCCACCATAGGCCCTGGCTGACATGTGTTTTTGTTTTAGACAACCTCGTTAGAACTTTAGGCCTCATGGCACGAACTCTGTGAAATTGGCCTGTTCACACTACATGTGCAGATTTTGGTGCTTTCCTGATCTTTTTGGTATAAAGGTAAATAATTCTATTGCCAGGGGTTCGAGACAGCCTGGTTTTGTTAGAGGCTGTGTTTAAGACCGCCTCCAGAGGTATGTCAAACGGTGGACCATTGTGAAAACCTAATGACACCATTCCTGAGACTTAGTGATTTCTTATCCTATCCAAGGCTCATAACAAAGGCCATAAGTTGTGGAACTCATGTATAAGTGAGGATCTTTGCTATAAATAATAGCAATACAATGGGCAATTCCTTTCGTCTCTTGGGGCATCTATAAAATGAGGAGGTTGGACTAGATTAGCTCTGTTCTGACATACAAAAAAAAATCAAGATGTTATTTACAGTTATCTATTCTTGATACAGGAAGGAGCTAGCTATTAGTAACTGCCAAAAATAACCAGAGTAGGTCCTTTAGTAAAAGGAATTGATACACTGAATGAATGCTATGGTCCATCCAAATCAGAATTTCCTCAAGGACCCAGCCAGGGTGGAACCTAAAAAATATTTTTTTTAGCAAGCTTTGCAGACTTTAGGTCATTTTGCCTAGAAACACAAGAAAGGACTTTGTATTATGTAGATTGTGTGTATAATGACTACATTTGATACATTACCTAAAATACACTTCATTTGATTTCAATGCTTGCAAATTTGCTCATTGAATTTGATGTTTTTGTTTTTCTTTGATCAAAATAAAACATGTACATAATTTAAAAAGTCAGTACCACAGGTCTTATAAAAACAGCTGTCCCCTCCTTATCCCTGATCCCTTCTCCCAGAAAAGATGCCCTCACTCTAATTCCTGGGACCTGTGATAATATCTCTACATGGCAAAAGGGACTTTGCAGGTGTGATTAGTATTACAGACCTTTTTTTCCCCCAAAAAGATTTTATTTATTTTTAGGGAAAGGGGAAGAGAGGGAGAGAAACATTGATTGAGAAACATGCCTTCTCATATGTGACCGAACCTGCAAACCATGTGGCCTGAGTGGAAATTGAACCTGCAAACTTTTACTTTGTGGACAATGCTCAACCAACTGAGCCACACCAATCAGAGCTATATTACAGAGCTACAAGTGTTTACAGTCCTTAAAATGGAGAGATTATCCTGAATTATCTGGGTGGGCCCAATCTAATCACTTGAGTTCATAATAGCAAAGCAATTTCTCTGGCTGGAAGCAGAAGAGGAGGACAGAGTCCAAGTTTGGAAAGGGGCTAAAGTCCTGTTGCTGGCTTAAGGACAGATGAGGCCATGCAGTAAGTGTTAGAAGGAACTGGATCCTGCTAACAACAAAGTTGAACCTGGAAGCAGAACTTGTCCAATACCTCTAGACAGGAGCCCAAGCTTGCCAACCCCATGATTTTGGCCTAATAAAAACCTGAGCAGAAAATTCAATCATGCTGTGCTAGACTTCTTTTATTTTCTTAGAGGATCTTTTTAAAAAAAATATATATTTTATTGA